TTTGAAAATGACAGTCCCTTTTCAAAAGATTGTATCTTTTTATACAAAAGACAAAACTGATACAAAAGACTGTAGCAATTTATTTTGCCAAGTATGATACCCTATATATAAATCATGGTTATCCAAGCTTTTGGCTTGCCTGCACTGAGTGAAGAGGCATTGTCTTGGGCCACATATAAAATATCTAATATAGTTAATGTATATAAATAGCAAACTTCCATTGTTGTTTATATTTTTTTTAATTATCTTGTGGGGCCGCATTGCTAACTGTCCAGGGTGGCATGTGCCCACGGGCCACAGGCTGAACCTGCCTGATATAAATTAAGCTCATTATATAAATATTACTGCAGATGTCTTCATTATAGAACAGTAGAACACAACAGACATCTTCGACTTCAACCATCTATATTTTTACCAGACAAATGTCTTACAACATCCCTTTTACTCCATAATCTTGAAGTCTCCCAACATCCTACAGTAATTGCTTTTTATTTTTACAATGTGCACAATAAAATAATTATCCTGGCTTATTTATATATTAAATTAATACACCCATTTTGCAATGCAAGAGATGAATGATATCCAGATCCCTTTCATGATTACTACTGATAAGTCAGATCTTCCTCATCCCCATAATTGATTATCAGTGCTGATTTCATTTTCTTAAGGGCTTAAATGAGTGTTTCTCAACCTGATCTGGTTAGGAATTCTTGGAGTTGAAGGTCCCACATCTGAAAGTGGCCACAGGTGAGAAATTGGCTTAAAACCTCTTCCCACTCTTGAGTGAGTAGATGGAACTCTTTGTGCCTGGAGCAAACTCTTTGCTTACAAAATGCTCATCTCTCAACTAGTAACAGTGAGGATTGTCTTATAGTTTCCTTGAATTATTATTAATAATTACAGGCAATTATTGAATTGCCTAACTGTTGCAGATTTAATGGAAGTTACTGGGTTTTGACTGCAAAGAGGTCTTTGACCACAAGAATTACATTTCCTAAAAACAGTAAAAATCCTGCCATTTTCATGAGTTTAAAATTTTAGTCTCATTTCTCGGAGGTATTTATTTAAAAAATGTAGTCGTGCGTGAGAGTCTTATACAGATTTCTGTGCATCTATATAAATATACACTACTGCACGCAGATGCTGCCTATCAAGCTGATGGCTGGCCACTATGTTAAGGGTTATTTTGAGAAGAATATTCCAGTCCTATTTTTTTGTTGACTAACAATTACACTCCTTACAAGCCTGTTAGAAATTCACAGGCAAATCATAATACTTATCATCAACTTTCCTCTTTGATCATAATCATGACTTGGTTCAAATTATTGTTATATTCAGAATATATTTTTTCTGGTGCAGTTTGAATGCAAGCTGTACTTATTTTTGCCATCCCTTATTATTTCATTACTATCATTTTGTTGTTTGCTAATTGGTACCTTTCAAAAGCCTGCAAGTACAAAGAAGCCTCAATCATTTGGACCTCCCACACTCCCATCTCTATGTCCACCACACCAATTTTCCTATAAGCCAGTTCTTGCAACCTATTTCAAGCATCCACAATTGAAGCACGATCTCACAGACAACTGGGATTGCCCCATAGTTGACCTGGTACTCCTTTACTATTTGCTAAATTAATAGCTGAGGTATTAAAGTTTGAGATGCATGTTCCTAAATCTCAAACACTCCTTACTGTAAATGACAGAGTATCATTGTATGGAACCAAAGGCCCCAGTGTGAAGGTAGGGCTACTGGTGAGTACAATAAAATTAGGAAATATTCTTTTTTTAATTAGAAACTCGATGCTCAATTGTTTCCTTTCAATATTCTGCTTTCAATCTTGTTGTTTTTCCCTTGTTCATCTCCTTCAGCAAAGGCTCTTTGGCTTTTTTTATGTAGTCATTTAAGCTGTGTTTTTCCTCTTCTACGGTTTGTCCTCTGCCACCCTGAGAGATTGGCAAGTACGATAGATCAATATCAATTTTTGGATGCAGAGCATAGTGCATTATTAGTTTTCTTGTCTTTCGATCCAAGTTATCAAATTCTAGCTGAGTCCAATCAATTATTGCAGCTGACTGTCATATTACAGACACTGCCCAGGTGTTAATTGCCTTTATGATATTTCCTCCCCTCAGCTTTGAACGCAAGATTTTCCAGACTTGCTTTATATATTATGTATTTTATATATTTTGTTGAAGTAGCTTCATTGACTGGGTTGTGCAACAGGTCAGAAGCTTCCAAAACTCCTAAGTACTTGTACCCTTCTTCTGGTGTTACTGCTTTTATCAACTTTTATCAACTCTTGATTATCAGGTTTGAATTCATCATCTTGAACAATTTTTCCTGCCTTAACAGCAATTGTTGCACATTTGTCAAATGCCGAATTGCATTTCAATGTCTCTACTAAACTCCTCAGTGCTTTTCAGTAGTAAGCTCAATTCAGCTTTTGTTTTTCCAAACAAGTTTAAATCATCCACGTGCCGTAGAGAAATGGGAAAGTTTCAACCCTTTTTTAGCCAATTCATAGCCACTGCTTGTCTTATTCAAAATGCTTGTTAGTGGTGCCATCGAAAGTACAAATAACAATGAGTCGCTTTGGAAGAGTCCTCGTTTGATTTCAACTTCACCAAGTTCTTCTCCATAGGCCATCAACATAGTTTGCCATAGCTCGTGGAAGTCTTCAGGAATTTCTGGATGTGGCTGCTAATTCCAAAAATGTCTAAGCATTTCTCAATCCAGCTATGTGGAACAGAATCAAATGCTTTCTTATAACCAATCCAGGCCATCATCTTTTATTTGAATTCTTCAAAACCAGTTTATCAATCATCAATTGGTCTTTGGTTCCTCTTGAATTTTTGCAGCACCCTTTTGCAGCAAGTCTTTCTTTTTGAGATATCCATAAATTTGGCCTGAAAGTAATTTGTATGTTGTTGGCAGGCAAGTGATTGGCCTATAATTTTCAGGTTTATTTCCCTTTTCTGCATCCTTCTGAATAAAAAGAGTTCTTCTGGTTGTTAACCATTTTTCACTTTCTGGTGTTTCCAGAACCTGATTCATCTGGTTTGCTAATCTTGCAGGAAAACCTGTTAGTGATTTCAACTAGAATCCATGCAGCTCATCTAAACCAGGGGCACTCCAGTTCTTGACCCTCTTTGCTTGTTTTTGCATCATTTCTTTTGTAAAGTGAATATCTTCCATTCTAGTCACTTTTACAGTGCTTTCAACCTGCTTGATTAACTTTGCATTCCCATTCCCATCATCATCATCATCGTTGTTGATGTTGTTGTTGTTATTATTAAAATTTTAATCTTCAGTTCGATTCACAGGTGGGATTGGTAAAAAGTTAACAGTTCAAGTCCTGACCAAGAGCCTAAGAGCTGTTAAGGTAACGTCTGAGTATATAGGTGGTTGTGGTTGTTGTTGTTATTTTGTTAGTTATTTGTGTCCTGCCTTTATTATATTTGCAAATAATTCAAGGCAGCAAACATATCCAATATACCTTCTTCCTCCTATTTTGCCCACAACAACCACCTTGTAAGATTGGTTGGGCTGAGAGAGAATGACTAATCTAAAAGTCACCCATCTGGCTTTCATAGTTAAGGTGGGACTTGTATTCACAATTTTCCACTTTCTAGTCTCGTGCCTTAACCACTAGACCAAACTGGCTCTCTTTTAGAGCAAAGGTGTAGGCCCAAATCCAGAAAAACTGTATATAATTATCCTGGTGTTACCTTTTAGCAGTTTAGGACTAGCCTTTTTTCTAACTAACTGCCTCCCCCTTTTCCTTGAGAAATTATTAAATTAGAATGTCAGAGATATATATCTTGGCAATCAGATTTACAATCCAGACTAAGGATAGTTACTAAATTAGAACTAAAGCTTTCCAGACCAGCCATACAAATACATGAAAGATGATATTGAAGTTTCCTGGTGTCTGGACCAAGCTCCTTTAATCTTCGAGACTTTTGACATATTTCAAAGATACTTTATCCATAGCCAAAATAAAGTTAAATTCTCAAAATGATATATAAAAGGCAAAAGAATCAAAGTACTCAACAAATTTCATGATTTTGTTTTCCCTTTCATGGCAGTGTGATAAGGGGAAAGCAAAATCAATGTAAGATGTCACAGTTCTGTTAAAACTCATATTAATATTCATTGTGAAATGCCCCATGCTTATTGTAATGTCAGGTCATCAAATAATGTAAAATGTCTGCTAATGTTTGGTATGGATTCACCTCTTTCTCAGACACAATTACTGTATAATGGAAAATAGTGGAAATCACTATTTGGCATGTGGAAATCACTTTATTTAAAGATTTTAAATCAAACACATTCAAATGTTGCAATACCATAACTCTCTGATATGATAAATTAATTGTATAACCTCCCTGAATGAATTAAATTAATGAATTCATTGGGATTTGGGTTGGTCAAGAAATGTACTACAAACTAAAAGACGTGTAAATCTGATATATTTTCTTGACAAGTTTACTTTTATCAGCACTACTAGTAGTTTGGATATCTTACATTTTTCTCTCATCGCTCAACCTAAATTTCTATTCTGAAAGGCTAGAAATGTAAATTAATGGATAAAAATACTGAATGTCATGAGTTCTTAAATATAGTTACTCTGAATCAAGAGATATACTAATATACACCATGTAGGAAATACCCAGTTGGCTGGAAACCATCTGCTGATCCCAATGTTGCTGCAATTAGTGGGTGACCCACAAGTTTAGCAGCATTTGGGCTTATTTTCCCATTGCAGGCATGCCAAGGCAAAATGCCAGTGAGCTTGGGCAATGGTCTCACTTTGTTGTATAAACCTGGTCAGCTTTAAATAAATGCTGCAATGCCCTCTAAGTTGCTTGCAGCAGATCACCAAAAGTCTGAAAACCCAGATTTTAAAATACACCAAGAATTTTTCCATCAGTCTTGTAATAACTTTGATACTGTATGTTTGAAGGTTAATTCATATTCTTCAGGAACTGGAGACTTACCATTAGAGCGATGGATACAGGTGTGTTGATTATCGCTTAGGAAAAACCCTTCTTTACATTGGCATTCATAGCTTCCCATAGTATTGACACAAATCTGTTGGCAGCCACCATTGTTATCCAAACATTCATCAACATCTAGAGACATAAATTTCAATATAAGCTGTTAATACTCAGAATACAATAAGAAGCCACAAACTCTTCATTCCAATTCACACATAAACATATGGTCTCATCAACTATAATTTAAGAAATTATAATTTATTGGGTTGAGCATCAATTTTGTGCCTATGTGCTTCTTTTCTTTCCTTCACATTTCACAGTGCACAATTCACAGGTATGAATAATAGATTGGCTGATCTAAAAAAGTTAAGCAAAGGTGGATGGGACACCTCCTGAGAATACCTGGATGGGACACCTCTTAAGAATCCTAGGGCACTACACAAGATTAGAAAATAAAAGCAACACAAACAAAGAAGGCGATACAAATCTCTTGTATGTGTTGCCAAGAAAACTACTGTCATGTCTCAGGCCAGTGTTTCTTCGCCTTAGCAACCTGAAGACTTGTGCATTTCAATTCCCAGAATGGCTGGCTGGGCAATTTTAGGAGATCAAGTCTACACATCTTCAAGTTGCTACGGTTGAGAAGCACTGTTCTAGACACTTGTTCTCCAGTATAGTACAGTGACATCATTTCCTAAACCAGTTTTGTAACTGAATGAATTGTGCTTTCTATATGTTGTTGTCAATGACTGTATGATAAATTTTTCATAACAAAATATAAAACCTAGAACTACCTAAATGATCTTTTGACTGAAATTAATTGCACTGAATAACAATCTCTTCTCAAGCAATGCTTAAACCCAACCTGGAATTAGTTATGGATAAGCTTGGTTTTCAGTGAGGTATTTTTCATTTCTATGCCTTGGAATATCTTTCTGAAAGGAAGTTTCCTTTGTGCTTTAAAAACAATACCCAACGGCTTATCAAATGTCAAATGCGCTGCATTTACTCAGATGCAATTATCTGCCATCAGTATCATGATGCAATTGGATGCTCATTTTTTTCCAATCCTGGCTTCCAGGACTTCAAATTTGAGTGATTTGAAGCTCAGTTAATGGGGCTATTTGTAGAAGCAAATTGTTTTCAGAATCATTCAAGCCCTGGCTAAAAACAATAAGCATGGTTGCAGCACTTTAAGAATCAATATATACATGGAACTATACTTTTAAAGGTATTGAAACAGTCCTATGCAATAATGAAATCTTTAATCCTTCTGTACTGCAGAATAAAGGGGCAGCCTTTATTGCTTACCTTATTTTTAACTACAATATATTTTACTCTATGTACTTAAAAATAAAATTTATACAAAAATGGTTCCTGGGGAATTATATGATAGGACCAAATATCTTCCCTATCCCCTTTGAGTCAAGACATAAGGAATTCAAAAGTACACAAGTAACTTTGGTACTTGAATCAGAAACATCCATATCACAGAATAAAATTAAGTTAAAAAACTGAGACTGCTGTGGTATATTTAAAAAGAAATAATAGCCTGCCTAACAAAAAGATACACATGAGAAACAGTTCTTATGAGAAAAACTAGGAAGTCATTTTTTTTCTTCCATATTCCCAGCAATTTGCTCTCACTTGTAAGTGGAATGTAAAGGATTTCCAAGCTGATCATAAACTTTGAACAAATTCTTATGGTTGAGGTTGTATTTTAGACATTGATTTATTATGTGTCATCTAGTTGGTGTTGACTCTTAGTACTATATAATTAGAGCCTTCCAGGAATGATCAGACCCCAGACTGGTCCTTTAGGTCCCCCAATGGATCTATCACCATTGTGAATCCATCCACTTTGCAGCTGGTTGCCCTTTTTTTTCTCTTTCCTTTCACTTTTTCCAGCATATAGTATATTTCATATTTATGCTAGTGGTACACATTCTACAAAAATATCCTATGTTTTTGCACAATGTGTACTACTTGCATAAATGTGAAATCTATGCTGGAAAAAGAGAAAGGAAAGAGAAGAGTTATTGTTTTTGTATAATGTATACTACTTGCACAAATATGAAATATATGCTGGTAAAAGTGGAAGGGAAAAGAGCTATGTTTTTGTATAATGTGTACTACTTGCATAATTATGAAAATTTGAGCCTGGTCATTTGTGCTTTGAGTAAGTACTTAGGATTGATTTCTGCTGAAATCCATTTGTTTGTTTTCTTGTTCATGATAATCTCAAGATCTTCTCTACCACAAACATGTCATATTCTTTCTATCTTTCACCCTTTTTTAAAAAAAACAACTTGAACGTCTGGCATTTCCCTTTCCTTGTAAAGTTCTAATCTTTGTTGGAAGATCTTAAACAAGTTTGCCTTTGCATTGCCATTAATTATCAGCCTCCGGCATCTTCCTATATCACAACCAATATAGATGCCCACCTGCTTTAGTTGGCAGCTGGGATAACAGTCACACATAAACTCATGGTATACATTCCCGATGTTCTTTGATGCCCCCCTGTGATGAGTCAGCATAGTATGACTTGTGTAGGATTTTAGACATACGATGCCCCAATTTTAAAAGTACGAGCTAGCATTATGAAACTGAATCTGAAAGTAAATTGGCAACCATTATAATCATCAACACATGATTAGAAAAGAATGGCAGGCCCACATAGATCCTGAAGTAGCCTTTTATGGCCCTGCTGTATATGCCCTCTATTGATTGAGAGAGATGGAGACAAAGTCAGGGGCATCTAGGGCAGTGGTGGGATTCAAATACGTGAACAACCGGTTCTCTGTGTGGATGCCGCTTCCGAAAGCCCATTCTGGGCCTGGGCAACAAAAAATTAGCCGGTTCTGCCGAAGTGATGCAAACTGGCTGAATCCCACCACTGAACTAGGGACAATAATCTTGGCATGAGTTATTCTAGTAGTAGTAGAGCCAATGACTCCATTTTGGCTGAAGTTGTCCCAACAATCCCAGAGGATGCCTTACTTGCACCTATCAATAGCCTCTTAAGACTCCGAAGACTTAAGCAGAGGGGTCTTATAAAAATTAAGTAACAGAGAGCAGAAGTCCATAAATAACACAGGTTGCCAAGAAACGAGTCTGCAGAAGAGCCCATGCTGAGGAGGAAATTGTCACAGCTGCATACTGGGTGGAGGCTCAGTGTGGCTAATAAATTGGCCTCCCTCCCTAGGACCACACATTGAGAACAACTTTTCAAGCCTCAGCTCTGTCATGTTTTTCCTGCTGTACCATGCTTAGAACTTTCATTGTGTCTCCTGTCTATTCAGTGTGGATTTGTGGGTTCAAAGAATCATAGAGTCTTCTAGTTCAAGCTCTTGCTCAAGGCAGGAGTCCTTATATCATCCTAGACAAATGATTGTCCAATCTTGTCTTAAAACCTCCAGCAATGGAGCACCCACAATTCTGGGAGGCAAGCTGTTCCACTAATTAATTGTTCCCATTGTCAGAAAATTCCTCCTCATTTCTAGCTAGGACCTCCCTCTGACGAGCTTCCACCCATTCCTTCTTGTCCTGCCCTCCGGTGCTTTGGAAAATAAATTGCTGTCCTCTTTCCTGTGATAGCCCTTCAAGTATTGGAAGATTGCTATTATGTCTACACAAATCTTCTCTTCATTAGGCTAAACATACCTAGTTTCCTTAGCTGTTCATCATATGATTTAGCCCCCAGATCTCTTATCATCTGTTTTGGTCTTCTCTGCACTCTTTCTAGGGCCTCAGCATCTATTTTTTGCTTCAGGGTAACCAGAACTGGATGCAGTATTCCAAATGTTGTCTCACTAGTGCAGAACAGAGTGGTACTATCACTTCCAATGATCTTGCTATCCCTCAGTCAATGCAGCCTAGAACTATGTTGGCTTTTCTGGCAACTGCAGCACACTGCTGACTCATACTTAAGTGGTGATCTACCAGGACACCTAGATCCTTCTCAAAGTTACTACTGCTGAGACAGGTGTCTCCTATTCTATACTTACAGTATGCATTCGGTATTTCCTGCCTAAGTGCAGGACCTTACTTTTCTCACTATTGAACTGCACCGTCTGCAAGTCTGTCAAGATCCTTTGGAAAAAATTGCCAAAATGTTGGCAATTCCCTCCAGATTGGTGATGTTTGCAAATTTGATGAGTTCCTCTTTAATCTCATCTAGGTCTTTTATGAAGATGTTGAAGAGCACCAGGTCCAAGACAAAACCTTGATGTATCCCAATGCATGCCTCCCTGCATGTAGCTGTAGCTCCATTGAGGACTACACACTAAGTGGAGTTGGTCAGCCAACTACAAATCCATCTGGTGGTGGTACTATATTCCACATTGTTCTATCTTATCAAGAATAGGATATGGTCTACTTTGTCAAATGCCTGACTGAAGTATACTATATCCACAACATTTCCTTCATCTACTAATGTAGTCATTTTATCAAAAAAAAGCAATAAGGTTTGTCTGGCATGATCTGTTTTTAACAAACTCATGCTGGTTTCTAATAATCACATTGTTCATTTGTAGATAGCAATAGCACTTAGATTTATATACCGCTTCACAGTGCTTTACAGCCCTCTCTAAGCAGTTTACAGAATCAACATATTGCCCCCAACAATCTGGGTCCTCATTTTACCAACCTTGGAAGGATGGAAGGCCTGAGTCAACCTTGAGCCAGTGAGAATCGAACTGCCAAACTGCAGTCAGCCAGCAGTCAGCGAAAGTAGCCTGCAGTACTGCATTCTAACCACTGCACCACCATGGCTCATAGTCCACTGCTTGATGATCTTTACCAGGATTTTCCCAGGTACTGATGTCAAGCTGATTGGTCTGCAGTTTCCTGGATCCACTTTTTTTTACTGCTTTTGAAGATTGGAACCACATCGACTCTTTTCCAGGCTTCTGGCAGTTTCTCTGTGCTTCAGGAGCTCTGCAAGATTTCATTCAGGAGTTCTGAGATCACATCTACCAGCTCCTTCAGTACCCTGGGATATAAACCATCTGGTCCGAGATTTGAACTCATCCTAAGCATATAAGTGTCCTCTTATCAATTCTTTGTCTATTTTGATCTGCATTCCTGTTCTGTCTCCTACAGTGCTGCTTTTGATAGATTGGGCTATTTTTTTC